GAGAGAGAGAGAGGCATAAATGGCAATTGTAGGAAAGAAATAAGTGTTTCTCAAATTTTGTTTAAAGATTTTCTTGTTCTCTTTTGTACAGTAAAAAAAATATCGGCGTGCTAATAATTTTAACAATTTTTTATATAGTGAAATATCTCCATTTTGAATATTTCAAAAATTTTTTCCGAACAAGAATTATGTTGACAAATCAAGTAATTGATCCCAATTCTCAACATAGATTGCCGCTACATTCGAGTGGAGATATATTTCCTTAAAACTAGTTCATTTTTTATCCTTAAAAGAGTGTGAATCCATTGGCTCTAAGCATCTCAAAGGTTAGATGTGAAGGAGACAAAGCAACTACATCAAATCAATTTTAGACTGAATTTGACACGATTAGACAATTTGGGTACAAAAAAATATATATATGAAAATGAGTTGGAATTTTCATATTTTAGTATGTTTTAATCTCTTTACATTATAATTAATATTGTAAATTACTTTGTTTGTAGTAAGAATTTTAGCATTTTAAACAAATAACTTATCTTTTTTTTTCTCATTGTAAATCAGTTAATTTTTAACCATATGCAAAAAGGTTGGCCCGGGCTTCCAGCCCATTAAAATTTTTATATTTTTCGAAAAAGAAAAAAACAATGTAAATTTTTTTTTTTTTTAAAAAATATTAGCTCGGTTTATAATTTTTTTTTTTAATCCAATCATGAATCCGTCCCTGAATATAATATCCAAAAATATATTTCGAAATAAAAATTTACTTAAAGTTCACTTTAAAAATTACTTTTACGGTGTAGTCGACGTCTCAAGGTTTAACACTCAGAAACTCCAAAGGTTCTTTTTCTTGATTAGTCTCGAAATCTCTTTGACTTTGACTTTGATTTTTATTAATTTTAAGTGTCTAAATTAAAATCCCATTTGAAAAAAATAAAGTAAATGAAGAAATAAAACAAGAAATCAGGATATTTAATTCTTACTTCGTCGTTTGAAAATTTCGGATAGGACAGGAGATAAAGATAGCCACCTCTGTTACATCCTCTCTTGTTGTCATCCGTAGTCCCAACACATCAAAAGTTTAATTATAATTTATTTGCAATTTGAAATTCATAGACTATTCGATATGTCTAATCAATTATTTTAACATATCACCAAATCGTGAATTCTAGTACACCTCAAAGGTAATTAAAGTAGAGTTGATGTAAAATGTCATTGAAATACAACACCTAAAATTAGGTAAACCTATAAATGATCTTAGTTTGTCATCAAGCTTGCATCATTAAATTAAATATTTGGATATTATAATAATTAGTGGAACTAGCTTTTATTATTGTGGTCAAAGAAATTAAAAATGTTTAATATGATACTATGTTAGAGCAAACAAAACATTTTTATCCTATAATTAGTATTATTTAAAATTTTCTATTTGTTATGTATTATTGCCTTATATTTTAGGCAATTTTCTATCATATAATAATTCAATAAATTCAACTTGTTATGCCTTTTTTCATGGGACACTCACTCAGAAGTGTTTATCAATTAATAATCATCTTTGAAATAAGTTCATCAAATCTATTTGCAATCAAACCCCCAATCTTTTCAAAAGTTTTAAGATCAGTTGGTGAAATGGTGACGTACATAGATTTGGTATTTGACAAGCAAGGTTAAATGGGTGGTCTTTTCACTTGATAATTAAGACTATATATATTGATACCATATTTTAATTGCATAAAAGGACCCTAACATTTACTAGTTATCACACTTATGTCTCCAATATATTTCATTTCATTCTGATTCTCAACACAAAGTCTTCATTCTATCGGATTACATTCAATCACAATGAAAATATTTATAAGAATAATATATGTAAGAAATTACTTGATGTTTAATCCATCACTATCTTAGCCAGTTCACTAGGCTTACGAGTCGAGGTCCAAAACTAATAGCTATTGCTGGTCTCTGGGAAGTCCTTTCAACACCAAGTCTGTTTTTATTTTTCCTCTTGGCTTGTCTTAGTCTAACAAATTCACGATATAATAATTGATGAATTTTGCTATGTGTGAACACAGAGGTAGACACCCTGGTGTACAGTCTTCCTCACAATGGGGGGGCTTATGATTTTTTTATTGGGCGTGGGGCCTCCTTAACGAATGTGTTTTACTCATGAATTTTATTCCCTTTTAAATTTAATTATGAGCTAGATATTACGAGTAGTGAACACTTTTAATGTGTTTATTCCTATTGTTTTGTAAAAGTGGTGAGACAGCGCAAGTCTGGTAAAAAAAAGAGAAAAAAGGGCCATTGACATGGTAACAAAAATGGCAAAATATTCAAATCGGAATATCGAGGAAAGAAGAATGACGCCGAGAGCCGCACATCAAAGGTGTGGGAGCAGAAGATGACAGAGGTGTGGTGCCACAGGGATTTTTGACATTTCAACGACGCCTGTAAACGCTAGGGCTTTTTTTTGGGGCCAACTTTTGAGCCCACAGGAAACTCTATATTTATACAGCCGTGGTGAAGAGTATAAATGGGAGTTACTGGGCACTTTTGAGGGATCCCATACATTGAGTGAAAGAGAATACAACAAGAAATTGAAGAACGCAATTCAAGGGAGAAAAAATCAAGAAACTCAAGATTTGAAATATTGATTGGAAAATGAAGAAGATCTTGGTGCAAGATTAATCTATTTTTCTACGTCTTTTTTAAAAATCCGATGATATATTCAATAACAATTTCGTGTTTTTCTTCTTCCATCGTTATGTGTAGCTAAATTATATATTAGGACGAACAATGTAATCTATTTGAGACCCTTTATTTCTTTTATTCAAGATTCTTGTTATTTTATCATATACATGTTGATTTTGCTATGAGTTTAATGCGTTGAATTATTTGATTACTAATTTGACCATTTTGTGAATCTTTTACGAATCGAGAGGTGAGTTTGAGATTTAAACCATATAGTAAAATTCGGTATATTAGTATAACGTGTAGAGATACATATACTAAATATT